TCTACTAACAGACACCTAAATATTTTTCCTCTTCACAACTGTTGCTACTACTTCAAGACAAATACACACACACACACCTGAGGTGGGGTAGTTAATACAAACTCAATACACAAGTAACTCTCCATAGGTATCTCATCTTCATATACAAGTTCACACACTCCCAAATATGAAGAAATAACTCTCTGTCTTCCAAAATGCAGAAGCCTGCCATCTTCACACCACACAATGAATATATTCATCCTACTGCTCCACAAAATTAGTAACTGACCAGCCTTCACACACTCAAGTACATGTGCATGGGTAATGAAAATAAAATTTATTCAAAATCCCTTGTACCAAAACATGATGTCCAGAATGTACAAATATCCCTCCTCCATTTCCCAACTATAACAATCACATTGCAAGTGCAGAGAAAACTACCCAAATGCCTTCCTTAACATAGCCCATATGCAAACACATATATATCCAGACTTCCCAGGGTGTGTTCCTGGGAAAAATATATATATATACAAGACCACCACAAGTAAAATATTACAAAAACCAGAGCTGACTTTCCCTTGATCTCCAATATCCACACAGAACAAGAAGATGACCATCACCACTTCGTCTGACCCACACTTCTGAACACATACCACATTCTCGTCAGGCAGTCGAAACAGAGCAAGATCCAAATTACGAATGCACATCAACACATTAGGGACCCCACCACCCCATCAAAGGAACAGCAAAAACAACCAGAGCCCTCTGAACTCCTACTAACCCTCCAGGACCAGCACAGCGTCTCATTTTCTCACCCAAATAACCACCCCGTGATCTCATGCCCATCAAAACGCAAGGAAAACTTCCTGGCACCCAGAAATATCCACAGGGGCCCCCAACAGCCCACCAACGCCTACGTGAGACCATATCATCAATTTCACTGCCGCAATACACAAGCACCACAAATTAATAAGACAACATGACTCTCTTTATTGCACACGACTTGTGGTCACAGGGTTCTCCCATCATCATTTAGGTGCTCTGTCCAGACGCGCCCACCAACAGCCCACCTACGATGGCCCGTCAATCACGGGGTGACTACAGCAGACTCAGCACACTTGGCTCAGTGTGTTCCCTTCTGCAAAGTTGCTAAGGACAGGGAAATGAGCGTCCTTCAGCTAACAACCCGGATGCCAGCTGACAGTGTCCCCAACATTCACAGGTTTCAGGCGGAACAAGAAGATGACAGTCACCACTTTGTCAGACACCTACAGGAGCCTCAGACCTGCTGACCAGGACCGCGCTTCTCAGGCACCAAACAGGTGCCCTGGAGCCGGGTTTCGCACAGGCTGCAAGGGACATGGATGGAGGATGCTTCGACGTGGGCGCGGCACTGGCCATCTCGGCCCTCACTGCCAGGCCTGCTGCGGGCGGCCTGCATCCCTGGGGAGGCAAGGCCGGGCCTGGGCTGTCTGGCGAGGCGCAGGGGCCAGAGGAACGGGCAGGGACACGGTGGGGACGGAAGAGGTTCGCGGGTCCAGTACCTAGAGGCCTATGGGACTGAGTCTGGACGCCGCCATGGGAGCCCAGCTGGCCCGTGGGAACCCACCGTCTGTGCTCGCGCCTGTGCCTTTCTCCGCACGAGCCCCAATGGACGCTGGAGCCGTTGGATGGCAGCCTGTGAGCGCGCCCTTCCATCCAAGCATGTGCTCAGGCGCGAGGGATGCAGGAGGAACACCGGTGGCCCTGCAGGAGGAAGAAATGGGTCGGGAAGCCTGCAAGAGGTCTCCGGCAAGAAGGCTCCCCATAAAGAGCCTCTGGGCTGGTCCTTCTTTCAGTGGGAGCACCTGAAATGACAAAGTGATTTTCGCAGTTGCAAACTGGTCATGCCTACAGTAGAGACCACCCTGCTGCAGTCCTTGGAAGCTAAGGAAGCTCTCTACCCTGTGCTCCTTCCCATGGCCAGTTTGCACAAATTGAATTTGACTAGTGTTATTATATGAGCACCTGTGGTCCAGCAGTTGGAAGCAGTGCAAACTGAGTGCATGGGGTAAGGGCTTAAGCTCAGTGGCAAAGCACTGACCAAGAGTATACAAGGCCCTGAATTTGACCTTGGTTTAGCAAATAAAATTTGGTCTCCAGCATTCATTACAGTGTATGATTATTTTTTAAAAATTTAAAAAACCTCTGGAATGAGAACATAGTTTTCTGCACTGCATATTTTATATCACTGCTTCAAAAGAAATAACAAAGGAAGAAAGAATGAAAGAAGATTCTTTTTAGTGCCTGAATATCATGGTTTGCCCCCCTCCTGCCATTTATTGAAAAGACTTATAATAAGGTGTTAATATTTCATGAACACCAAACTGTGTGTTTTGCAAGCCAGGGATGGGATAAAAAAAATCATCACCAACAAAAACAACAAGAAAAAAACACTTTATACATAAAACACAATCCATACCCCACAGTTTTTTAGAGTATTGACTGTTTATACCGGTGATTTTGTGGCTCATGAGAGCCATGGTTCACTGGTCCTGCCCATCATTGGAAGCAAAGACAATTTGGTTGTTGAAAGAGAGGGCCACCTGTCACACCCCTCTCCTGTGGATTTTAGAAACTACTTCAAAATGACCAGGAGGCACACACCACTTGTGTCACCCCTGAATTGCCTGAAGGGAACTCAAAGTTCTTCTATACCTATTAGAGCTCTTCCTGGAATGTCTGCCCAGCCCCCCCTCCACCCAGGCCAGCTCTCCTTGGCCCCTCCCCCCCTGCAGAATGTCTGGATCCAACATTCCACTGTGGTTTACATTTAAACTTTGGCCAGCTTGGCACAGTTGGACCCTGAGCATCTGTTACAGACAGGTCACTCTCTGGGTCCTGTACTGACGTTTCCCACTGTGGAGACTGTGAGACACTGTGTCAGGTGTCCTGCCTGACCTTCAGAAGGAGGTGAGCCTAGACAGTCAGGGGTCTGTTATCTGAGGGCAGTCACCCCAAAAACCCTTGGGAGTAAGAATGGAGCACTTACCCTGTGGTCAACTGATTGAACAGAAGTAAGGGAAGGAAAGAGCCTTAGACAATACACTTGACATGGCCCAGGAAGCCCCGGGAAGACTGATACTGCTCATGGGGAGGAGGGCTCCTAAGACCCAGGTCCAAACTAATCCGGGGAAGTACACTGGGTCAGCAGAAAGGACAGAGGCCACGGGACTGATTCCTTGTAGAATGGACACAGGTCACTGCATGGTTTTTTAGGCAGTCACAGATGGCGTCACAGTGAGGGCTCCCTGGAGTCAAGATGCTGAGCCCTGTGTCCATTCTTCAGACACATGGAAGCTGCCTGGGATATCATTTTGAGGGGACTGACTGAGAGTCTCAGATCATAAGTGGGCAGGGGTAAGAAGTGTTCTTAGCTAGAAAACTGCCCAATGGGGATCTCAAGGACCACAGATGCAGTGTGATAGTCTCTGTGGGTGAGGCTGCAGGGCACTCCAACTGCCATAGCCCAGGGTCCCTCACAAACTTCCTGCCCAGGAAAACTTCTCTTTCCATTCAGACAGCAGGTGTCATTGATTCCAGAAGGGCAGGGAACCCAGGAAACCTTAGCCAACATAGATTTGGGCCTCTGGGGGATCTTCTGAATCCTTATCACTTTCACACTCTCTGTGTGTAGCCTCAGCTCATTGTTTTCAAGTCAACACAGAAGACTTTTGCTTATCTTCATGGTTTGGTTGGTACTCCATGATAAGGGAGCACATGTGGGGTGTTCTTCATTTTCCAGGATCAGGTTTGAAGATGACTGGGTTCTTTTGAAGACAGGAAGGAGAATAGCACACAGTTAGGAAGGGGCTCTACTCATATTGTCATGGGAACTTAGGCAGCTGTCCTGATTAATACATGCAAGTGTTGAAGTGTGGTACACCTCCCATTCTTTGACCTCACTCTGCATAATGTCCTGGTGAACAGGAATGTGCTCCCAACAACCTTGCTACAGGTAGCAGCTGGTGCAGGCCTGAGTCTCTGTGACACTTTCCTTCCCATTATTAGGAGTGCAAAGGAAAAGGACATCAGAATGGCTCTAATTCCCAGGCCCAATAAAAAAATGACCAGTGTCTGTGAAAACCTCTGGAAAACCCCAATCCTCACCATCCCATCAACTTCATAAACCTCAGTAACCTTTGCTAGTCAGCCCAGGAGAGGATCTCCGGGACTCAGTGTCTATCACATAGACCTCTTCCCTGGGAAAGGAGCTCCCTGCATTATGGCAGGAACCAGTGAGCACTAGGATCACAGATGGCCAGGATCTGTCCCCCATTAGTGTTAGGTGTGGGAAGTGCTGGGAGAAGCACCCACATGCTGGGCAGGATGTGCTCCTGGGTGAACTACAGAATTCCTCAGCCTCTAGCTAGGCAGAGATCTAAATCGGGTGTTTCTTGTTTGTGTGTGGATGCCTAGGAAAAAAGTGGAGGGGTATACAAGGAGTATTAGCAAAAGGAAGGCTGAGGAGGTGATGGGGGAGTAATTTTTAGAACCTGTCACCTTCACAAGTGACCCTAAAGTCCCTGCATCTGCCCTGGAGAAGATCCCTTTCCTGTTGGTGAGAATGAGGAGGGGCATGGTGCCACTGAATAGAGTCAAATTGATCCATTTCTAGGGAGTCACCTAGGAGGCCAATGGAGTGTCTGCAAAGGATGCACAAGGGGCCTCTCAGAATCAGGGAAAGCTGAGGTGTCACAGTCAACTGGGAATCCTGGTGTACTGAAAATGAGATTTCTCTGGGTAGAACTATGACTAAAGGAACGCAGCATGAAATTCACTCAGGGACATTTGCAAACTGCACAATTTCCCTGTCCAAGGGCCCTGAGCTGTGAGCATTTGTTCTCAGATTTCCACTGAGTAAGAAACTGGGGGTCCTCAATCCTGCTGTCATTTTCCCTCCTCCATTCTCCGCTTTGCTTTGCCTCCACAGCATCTGCATCACGGAGACCAGGCATGAACTCCACTCCTGGTGACCACATGTCTGCATTCAGGGGCCTACCCTTTCTTCCAGCTGCCCCTGTGCCAACACACCAGCCATTCTGGGAGTTGCCCCTGGCACCAAGGGTAACTGCACCTATCTCCCAGGGTAACCCTCTAGTGCTGTCCACTTACCCTGGACAATCATATGTGCCAGGGCTGTCCACCTTTGGAAAACATGGGCCACAACTGAGGCCAGTGGGGCCTCCTCATATTCAGAACATTACCCACACTCAGGCACCCCTCAACTGGAGGGCCCCAGGGGCCTTCTGTGGGGGTGTGGAGCATCCTGCTCCATTCCTCACAGCACCTTCTGCCCTGAGGACCACTGTACCTGCCTCAGACAGTGGAGGGATTCAAAACTATGGGATCCACTGGCACCTGGGCCTTCGCCCTCCAGCACCACGACCATTTGCCCAGATGGCCCCCATCATGTTCCCTATGAATGCGCGCCAATGGCCAGGTAGAGTGTATGGGGAGGGCGCACTACCCACCTTCCCAGCTGCAGTGCCACTAGATGACTCCAGCAGACCACCCAGCGTGTATGAAAACTTCCGGCGCTGGCAGCGCTTCAAGACCCTGGTCCGCAGGCACCTTCCTCAGACTCCTGATGTGGAAGCACTTTCCTGCTTTCTCATGTGAGTGTTCTCTTCAGGCTCCCCCTTGAGCTCTGTCAGGAGGAAAAGCATGGGTTGGAAAGACGAGGCTGGGATGTAGGGGATCTGGAAGAAAGGTCCTGAGGGTGAGGGGACAAGCTGAGACCCTTACATTCCCAGATGTACTCCCCTCACACCAGGGAATAAAATGTGCCTTATGTCAGGTGCCCATCACAGGCCTGTGAGTGCAGGCAATCTTTGTTTCCAATGATCATCACCATCACATGGAGGACTCAAGGTCAGAGGAGGTTCCTGGGGTAATGTGGGCCAGGAATCGAAGTTGGCTGTCTGACTCCATGCCTCCCCCAGTCATTTCACCTTCCACCATAGACCTGATTGTTCTCAGCACAAGGGACGTCCCAACCACAAGTGGGTTTAGTGGTGCTGGCCCCAACACAGAAATCTATGGCTACCCATACACATTGTCATGAACTACTGATCAGGACCCTCTGGTGATGTCACACTCGAGGGGAAGCTGTCTTTGGATACTGCATGGGCATGTTCAACTTTGCCCCAGTTTGTAACTGCTCCCAGGCCATTCTCTGCACTGTCTTCAGTCAGCCTGGGACACCATACATGATGCTATGGAAAATTTGTGAAAAAACAAAAAGGCATTCCTTTCTCACAGTTCTTTAGTCAGGATTCCCAGGTAAAGGGTAACTGACCTAAAATCCCATGATTGCTCTCTCTTCTCCTTGCTTGAAAAGACAGCTGGCTCACCTGTGTCCTCACAGTGTCTCCTCCTTCTCCCAGAAGAACACTAATGCCCTCATGAAGCGCCACCCTCAGGATCTCATCTAACCTTCTAAGCACTAAATGCAGTCTCCAGATACCATTCCATTGGGGGTTAGGGCTTCAACAGGTGAATGTTGGGGGATAAAAACATTCATCACATAGTACACCTCAATGATATTTGAGGAATCCAATCACAATCATGCCGGTCAATGCAGCCCTTGGTGTTAAAGTTTTGTATAAGTATCCTGGAGTCCCAATGTCAACACTTTGAGTTGAACATCATGGGGCAAATATAACAAAGGTAGGAAATTATGTTGTTGGTCTACTGATAACGGAGGGTGACCTTGTGGACACTGATCCTGATGAATTCCAGCCCAGTGCTTCGGTCTCTGTCCCGAAGAGAGCCCACCATGACCATGGAAGAGGGCCTGAGGAAGGGTTTGCAGGAATGGCAGCGCACCAGCAACTTTGATCGGATGGTCTTCTATGAGACTGCAGAAAAGTGAGCCAGTTTTCAAGGCCCAGAGCCTACTGATGGGGGATCATGGTTTGCACAGCAAGGTCTGGTACAGCCTGTCACCTACCTATGTTTTGGCTCCGAGGCATCTAGCTCTCCAAATAGCGGCTCCTTCTAGCTTGAGGCCTGGGCATTCTCTCGGCAACAATCCCAGAAACTCCAGGCTTCATACTCTTGATTCCAACTCTGCCTTGAGGTTCAGGGTCAGGATGGGGAGGAGGTACCAGCCCAGCCAGAGGGTCTGCTGCTGCTTTGCGGGCTCTGCAGAGGGGAAAAGTTGCACTAGATTCACTCGGGCCACCTGCCTGGGAACTGGTACCTCTTTATAGAGTGAGGTCCATTATAACTCATCAAAGTGGCCACTACTTCAAGCTGATGTTCCAGAAGAGGGTGGTGGTGGGGAGTGCATGGTCAGGGCCAGCCACCACCTCAGGTGCCCCCAGGACATGTCTCTGGTCCTTACTGCCTTTGCTCTATGCAATCCCAGCCTTTCTAACAAGGGAAGGGAAGAACCCACCCTCATTGGAAGCAACCCCATGTTCTCAGCTTAGCTTCCACTTCCACATGACCCTGCCTGTAACTTGGTCTCCCAGGCGATCCTTTCAGGGCCCAAGGTCCCAGCCTCAGTACCCCTGAATTGGGTCAGGACCTCTGGTGTTCCCTGATATAAATCACATCCCTGACCAGTTTCTACAACTAAACTGATCATGTGCTTCCTGGCAGAAACAGGAGAGAGCCAGAACAAGGATCAGCTAGGGGCCCTGCCTGGGTCCCTCAGATCTGATTCCCTTAAGGTGCTAGTTGATGTAGTGTTTCCCAAGAACTGTAGTTCTTCCTCTGTAGCAGCTCCCTCCTGTCACTGGCCGGACCTACTCCAGGACGCAACTCCACATTCCTGCCACTAGCTCCTGACTGGTAGCTTAGAATACTCCATAGCCTAGAATCCCACACCAGCACCTGCCTGGTATGGCTAACCTGATTCTCAGCTCAGCCTGTGCCTGCCTTACCCAAATCCCATCAAGGTTCATGGAGTTTGAGGCTGCAGAGGAGATGGAGGATCCAAGGATGCAGTTGTCAGGGTTCTTCCAGTGCCGACCTCCTCCTGCAACTCCAAGGCTGGAAATCCGAAGGCCTCCAGTCCCTGAGGCTGTCCAACAGCCAGGTAGGGTACCCACATTCACACAGTAGTCCATGATAGTGTCCAAACAGTGAAAATGGCCAAGGCAAGTTGTTGTCCCAAATAAGAACTTTCCCTTCAGTATTGGAGATTCACTCTTACAAGAAAAAAAGCCCCTAACACCTGAGGTCCCTGCCACCCAGCTATGAACTGTGTATTGACTGGGCCAAGTACAGATCTCCTTTCTCTCCTTGTCTATCCAAAGAAACAACACAAGATCTGCCTGGGACTTGGGTCCTGGTTGGGTAGAGTGCATGCAATACCAGTCACTACAAATGTCCTCCCACTTGACACTCCTAGATGTTGCATCTGGTGCACTATTATATCCCTCGGTTCCTGGGTCAGGTTGTCCTCATGCATGGCATACCAGGTTAGGTCCCCTGAACCCTGCCTACTCCCAAGTGTTTGGGATGAACATGGAATCCTCATTCACACACCACTCTGGTCCTCCCTGTCCTAGTGTGCACCTCCAGAAAGACCAACCCTAAGGTATGGTCTGCCCACTCATTAGCAGCCAAACCCAAGGCACCAGAGACCAAGGTGCCTGAGACAAAGGCACGCAAGACCAAGGCACGCAAGAACAAGGTGGCCAAGACCAAAGGGCCTGAGAACAAGGCGCCTGAGGAGATCCCACCTGAAGCCATCCAAGAGTACATGGACATCATGGATGAGCTATTCGGGCCTACGAACTTTGCCACGTGGGAGCCCTCCTACTTGTCTACAGAAGAGCTTGCTGCAAACTTGGGAGAGGAAGGACTAGAGCAACAGCCAATACAGGATGATTTATACCCAGATCCAAGTCTCCTGAGCTATGTTGATGAGAACGTTGTCACCAAGGTGAGCTGGGCCTACAATCTTGGTGTATACAAGGTTTTGGCACTCATGGAATTGAGTTTCCTGGCTTAGAATCTCAGATTTTTTTTTTCTGTGTGTGTGTGTGTGTGTGTGTGTGTGAGAGAGAGAGAGAGAGAGAGAGAGAGACAGAGAGAGAGTGCATGCACACGTGTGCACTCATACATGGGTGTAGCTGGTAGTTGGGATACAACAACCCCATGGTGCAAATGAGCATGGGATTATTATTGCTTCCTCTCTCTCCTAGAAGTCCTCCTGACTTGGGGCCATTTCCTCCCAAGGTCACTCACACTCTCTTCCTTCTCATCCCAGGCAGAGAATATGATTCATCCTCGCTTCCTGGAAGAAATGCTTTCCTCCAAACCATACATAAATATCTTGGCCCTAACAAAAGAACTGGAGCAGCAGGAAAGACTCACCACTGACCAGGTAGAAAGCAGAAGGAAGGTCTCCCAGTAGACCAGGGCAGGTGGTACAGAAGAGAGGCAGGGACACCTGATAAAGAAGTGCAGGGACACCAGGAACAACAGGGGTTGGGGAGAAACAAAAGTAGACAAGGAGAAAGGGGCACCAGGTAGAACAAAGGAGGTAGAGACACGAGGTTTACCAGGGTTTCAGAACAGACACCAAGGCACAGAGCAATACATGGCAGACTAGGAGACAAAGGGACACAAGTATACAGGAAATGGAGTTACCACAGGTGGAGAGGGGAGCAAGGGATAGCAGGTAGAGGAGGAAGGCACAGGACCTTACTCATGTGGCCCACAGGATGTTATCATTATCCTGTCTGTGTTGGCTCCCTGAGTCTGTTCCAGGACATAGAACGTAAGATGGAAAAAAAAAAGGAAGGAGACATGATAGCCATGGAAGGGTTCAGGATATCAAGCAGAAAGGGAGCCCAGGAGTGTGGCCAGCAGACACTCAGTGTGTTTTTATGAGACCAAGATGAGTAACAGATCCACTTTCCACTGAAATATGATTGTCCTGATCCCTGTGGCCCATTTCACGCATGAAGAAGGGTTGGCCAGTGCCCATATCCTCCTTCAGCTTGTGAAGAAGCACCTTTGCAGGTGCCTCAAGGTCATGATATGTCCCAACAGGACACAAGAGCTTCCGAGGCAGCTGCAAAACAAGGTGCAGAGAAGCGGAAACATCACACTGATCAAGGGGCCAGCATGGAGGACTGGTCCACAGAGGTGGCTTCCCAGGTCGTGAAGAGGAGCAGGACCACCGAGCCAGAGTTGCTGGGTTCAAAGGACACTGCTATCCTCCAAGGCTGTCACGGGTCTTCCTCATTGGGGACCATCCACTCCAACCATCCTTCCCAGAACCGCAGATCCTCCTCTTTAAACCTGGGGAACAAAAGTGTAGTGGGTCCCAGAAAAGCCACTTGTTCTGGGCGGCCACATAAGACAGCCAATGGCTGCAGTGTGGACGATGACCTCCAAAGCCTGGATTTCCTCCTTATCTCCCAGCACCGCCTGCTGCCCTGGGAACTGTCCCAGAGCCAGGCCCCTCCAATAGAAACCCTGTGCTCAGGAGATCAAGCAATCCAGGCCCCACCTCCCCAGAGAGGACTCCTCAGCTCCCACCCTCCTCCAGGTGCCATGTCCATGAAGAGCGCTCTCACTGGACGCACATGCTTCATGAAAAACACGCCCTGCACTGGGCCTCCCCTCCAGGTCACTAGAGGGCAAGATGTGGATCTGGAGCTGGCTCAAACCTCACAGCCTCAGAAGAGGAAGTGCACATCATCAGGCAACCTAAAGAAGAAGAGGCCCTGAGGACAGTCATGTTGACCGGTGGCCTCTGGGGTGGCTGCCCCTGAGGCAAGATCTCACCTTGCTTCATTCTGTGTTGGAAGGTCCAAAGGTTCTTCATCACATAGGACAGTTCCTGTGGGTTCTCAGAAAAATGTAGGGAGTGGGAGGGTATAGTAAATGTAGAAAGAGGGTAGGGGGAGGTACTGAGAGGGGAGGGTCACAATGTTCAATCCTGGGTGGGAAGCTGTACCTTGTTTGACTGTCACTGGGAATAAAGGCAGTTTGGTAGGAAAAAAAAATCTCCAGCTTCTGCCTTCTGCCATGTTTTCTGTGCACCTCCATGCAGTGAGAACTGAGAGGTGATAACTGGGGTTGCCAGGACCCAGGGTGCACAAGTGTCCATCTATTGGGTCTTGTTTCCAGATTTAGATGAGTCCTCCCCCTAACCCTGAGAGAAAACAGACAAGATTCCAAAACCCAACTCATCACCCCATGGAAAATGCCTCTCTTGGTTTAGGGGATCTTCTCTGTGTATCCCTCCATGATCTTTGCCTGTTAAACATCTCCCTTACCAATCATCTGAGGGCCTGCTATGAAGAGAAATAACAATGAGGCAAAGCACATCTCCCTTGGTATTCACAGTTCTGAGGTATGTGGCTCTCAGATCTTAGTGTTACTAGTTCTGAGATTGAATGTGAGGGACCCTCAGCTCCTAGTGATCGAAACTGCCATGTTGCCTTCTTGCGATCAATAGCCAGCCACTTCCATCAGTTCCCTGGAGATCATCTGACAACTGAACCTAGCAGTTCCTGCAGTTCTCCACTGCTTTTGATTAAAAAGGTGAACTCAGGCATGCACAGTGTCCTTCCAAGATACCCACAGTATTTCTGCTTAGGCATGGTTAGGGCAGGGGCTCCTTGCACTCCACACTAAGGACCATTGAAGGGTCCCAAAGGGTTGAGTCCTGTTGAGCACTGCAGATTGGAGTCATCTGGGGAGGACCTGCTATGGAAGCAAAACACTCTGAGTGACTGTGAGGCATTTGTGGCAGCCATGGCCATCACAGACAGGGGCACAATTTTTTATCAATTTATTAAGAACATTGGGCCTTTCTGTCTCATTTAGATGGAGAGCTGCTTTTGAGCCTTCAAGCCCCTGTGCAATTAAATAAATTCTAGAAATAAGCCTGGAAACAATTTTTTCCTAGACAGCTTCTTTCTCCTCTCCTGAATGATGATGGACAATATTATTCAACTGATCCCCAGCATGGCTGTGGTCTTCCTGTGTAGGCTTCCTGATGAGAAGACAAGGCCAACCTTTATACCTCTCCCCCCTACAGTTCTGACCGCAACTCACTGGGGACCCAGCAGGCTGCAAGTCCTGACTTCATCCCAAGACAGACCCACCCTCCACTCATGCAGTGCTCTGACCCTCCCATATGTAGTATTGGCCCCACCCCAACCCCAGCCTGACCAGTACTGAGTGTGATGGCCCAAATGTAATTTAATCAAGTTCTCCTACAAATCAATGAGGAAAAAAGAAGGCTACATATCACATGGTTTGCCAATCAACAAAATGTGGAAGTTTACCAAGGAGAATACTAAAATTGCAGGGAGGCCAAATTTTAGTGCCATTTGTGAGATAAAGAACTGGGGTGACTTCAGACATGCACAAAAGTGATTGGAAGTGAAGTTGTTTGTGGTCTGTCATGTGCAATCAAACTCCATGGTTCTTCATAGGAACCAGGTTCCATGCCATCAGAATCAGGGTCACAAATTGTTATCAAGTACCTATTGACAACTTTGAGCCCTCCTGTCTCAGTTGGATAGAGACCTGCTTTTGAGCCTTCAGGCCCCTCTGACATTAATCAGGTTTCTAGAAGTAAGCCTGGAAATAGTGTTTCTGAAGACAGCTTCGTTCTCGTCTACTGAGTGATGCTGGGCAGTGGGGATGGATGGAAAAGTGTGGCATGGAGAAAGGAGGCTGGGATGTAGGAAAACTAAAGGGAACATCCTGAGGGTGGAGGGATAAGCTGAGAGACCTACATTCCCAACCAAGTTCATCACACCAGGGAAGGAAATGGACCTTATCTCAGGTGCCCATCACAACCCTGTGAGTGCAGCAATCTTGGTGCTCAATGAGCATCACCATCACTCAGCGGATGTAAGGTCACAGGAGGTTCCTGGAAGTAATGTGAGCCAGGATTTAGAATTGGTTCTCTGACTCCATATGATTGTCCCTCACTTAGTATTTTCACCTTCTAGCATAGATCTGATTGTTCATGGCAGGCAACATCACAACTAGTGTTGGAGATACGGGGGGAGGCACCAGTATAGATCTCTCTGGACACCCAACCACATTGTTCCGAGGAATTTCTGCTTAGGATATTGAGGTGGTGCAGAATTCATGAGTGAGTACTCATTCCATTTGGATCCTCCGTGGAGATGTACATCATTGTCTCAGGCTTTAACCCTGCTCCCAGGGCACTCTGTACTCTGTCTCACTCAAATAAGGCTGCCATATGTACTGCTACAGAATGGGAAGCTGAAACCACAGGCATTCATCTCTCACAGTTCTGAATTTGGGAGGCCGCAGAAAGATGGTGTGAGATTTAATGGACAGCGAGTTCTTCCCTCCAGGCTTGAGACAATGGCTACCTTGCCTGTGACCTCCTATGGCTAAGAGAGCTTTAGCATCCCTTCCTTTTTCTAGAAGGGCACTAGTACTATCATGGGAACTCTACCCTGATGACATCATTAAAATACTAAGAGCCACTGAAGCCACCATCTCATGGAGGTTAGGGCATTCACTCATGCATTCTGCAGGCCAAAACTTTCAGGTCACAATACACAAAAACATCAAGAACTCAAGAGAAATCAGATTCCAGTATGGTACTTGATGTTCTCTCTAGTATATAGAGCATGTCCTGGATGCAGGGAGCCCACATGGGGTGGTCAAAGTGACTGGACAGAAGAGGCAAAGGCAAGGCCTGTGTTGGGTCAGGTCAACTTGCAATGTGACTGATCCTGATGAACCCAGGCCAGTGCTTTGGCCCCTATCTGGACTGGAGCCTACCATGACTCTGGAGGAGGGATTGTGGAGGGGTCTTCAGGAATGTCAATGCATACCTTTGATCAGATGATCTATGAGATGGCAGAAAAGTGTGTCAGATATCTGGGGCTAGGCCTAAGTGCTAGGGAACATGGGTTGAACAGCTGGCTCTGTTGGAGCTTCTCACCCAGCCAGGAAGAGCATCTGCTACCACAGAGAAAACCACTGAACCCTTACATCTCCAAGCATTACTTCCCTCTACCTGGAGTGCTGGACACTCTCTAATAGTCCCAGAAGCTCTGACCTCAACGTTCTTAGTTCCACCACTGCCTAGAGGTTCAGGGTTAGGGTGTAGGGCAGTAACCAGCCAAGCTCATGGGGTGTCCACCATCAGTGAGGTCTGTTCACAGGGTACAAGTTTCACTACCTTGGGGTTGGCCAACCACCTGGAAAATAAAGCATCTTCTAGCATATGGATCACCCCTGCTCATGAACAATGCCACAATAACACCCTGATGTTTCAGAAAGATTTAGAGTTCAAAAAACATGATCAGGGAACGCCAGTGTCTCAGATGCCCCAAGCACACACCTCTGGCCTTGTAATCCATGTAATTCTCGCCATTCAAACAAATGAAATACAGCCCTCTTTGGAAGGTGGGTTGGGGTGGGAACCCAGTGTTCCACTACTTTCAGCACAGCTTGGACTTTCGCATGACCTCTCCTGAGTCTTGTGTTCTTGGTATATAGTCCTAACCCCAGCATTCATAGAGAGAAAGTTGTCTTACATAAATCATATCTTTGACCAGATGCTGATGCTTGGCTTTTCTGTGTGGTTCAGGGCAGGGACATGAGAAGCCTGGAATAAGTGCAGGAGGATCTTAAAGGAATGTGCCTGGTTCACTAAGGACCACATGGTTCTCTTCAGGTGCTAAGTGATGTCAGGAGCACTCAGAATGGTTTCTGCATTGGGAACTGATCCCTCCTGGGACCAGCCCAGCCCATGGTCTGAGCACTACTCCCCATGCCTGCTACCAGCTCCTCATTGCTATGAAGCTACAGCTTGAGTTTTCCAATAAGAAATCTTTTTTTTAAATAATCCTATGTCTTGCTTACCTGTCAGGTTTGTGGATTTTGAGGCTGAAGAGGTAGAGGACCCAAAGCTTCAGTTGATGATAGATTCCAGTGTCAGACACATCCAGTCCCACAGAGGCTCAATCTTCCACATTCTCCAGTCTTTGAGATTGTGCAGCAAGAGAGAGCTAAACACATTCCCATAAAAATTTATGATTAAAACAAAGGTGATAATGGAGTGTGATAGCACACATGTGAACATTTTTTCAGAATAGGGCACTTCTCTTGCCAGTGGAACAGCCCCTGAGCATTTGGGATTCCAGCTGCCCTTGGATTTGAAGTGGATATAGCCTAGTCCAAGGTGCTACCTTCTCTCCCCCTGCCTATGTAAAGAGTCAACACACCATCTGCCTAGGACATGAGTCCATGTGGCCCAAGTATATTGAATATGGGTATCTCAAAATGTCCTCCCACATGACATACATTGTACCACTGCTGCAGAGTCTCCACTAATGGTTCCTGATGTCAGAATGTGCAGGGCCATCCTGGACCAGAGTAGATCCCTTAAACACTTTCTTTCGCTGAATGGCTGGAGCACAGCTAGAACAACCATGTATGCATCACCCTCTTACCCTCTGTCCTAGTGTGAACCTCCAGAAAGACTGGCCCTGAGGCTCACCCACCAGAAGTCTAATACTGCAGGTATCCAGAGACCAAAGTGCCTGACTAGGTCACACTTGAAGTCATAACTGTATAGATGGACATCATGAACATCTGGTGGGGTTTCCCAACTTCACCATGTGGATAGGCCCACATTTGGCCATAGCGAAGTCCATGGGAAACTTGGAAGAGAATGAAATGGAGTGACATCTAAAAGGGGACAATGTGTATCAAGATCTAAATCTCCTGCCCTAGACTGATGAGCTGTTCTCCAAGAGGACTTTTTCACCAAGGTGGGCTGGGCTGGGGATCCAGGTGTCTACAAGACTTTGGGAATGTCAGCCTGGACTCATGGAATTATGTTTTATTCTTCACATTCTCAGCACTGTTTGTCTGTTGGGTGGGGTAGCTCATGGTCTTGATTTAACAACTCCATGGTGTGAACCAGAAGACATCATCCATGCTTCCTACAAGTCCCAGAGGTGTCTTGGGCTTGGGGACACTTCCTACCAAGGCCACACACAATTTCTTCTTCTCCTCCAGGTGCAGGCTTCATTTTCCACACCCCCATTTCTTGGAAGCATTGCTTTTCATAGGACTACACATGGATATCTTGACCCTAACCAAAGAGCTGGACCAGGAGGAAGGACTCACCCAGCAGAATGGCCATCAGAACTTCAGTCTGACACCAAGACAGGTGATACCTCCCATTCATTTTTACACATCCCCCAAGTCCCTCTGTCTACCCTCATACCCAATACAGACTGAGCATGGGCCATTTCTGTTCTGTAGCTGGTGAAAATGCAACTATTGCCCTCAAAGTAGAAATTATCAGTGTAGGTGGCCCAAAGTTATGCTTTACCCTGACTAAAGTGCTTCTAAATCAGTTGCCAGCCAAGGTATAGAGGGACATAGTGATAGCACTGGACATGAGTCCTATATGTAGATCTGGCCCACCAGGGGTCACCTCATAGAAAATTAAGAGATTCAGGGTCACATAACCCTAGGTCCTATAATGAAAGCACACTGGTATCATCCTGCACTCTTGTGAGTCTTCCTCAATGGGTCCCATCCAGTCCTCAACTCTTCCATGGACCACAGAATCTCTTCTCTAAGCCTGGGCCAGAGAAGGGCAGTGGGTCCCAGCAGAACTTCTCCTACGGGAGCCACATGAGAAAGCAGAGGTGTTTAGTGAGGACAACCATGACCCTCCATACCCCGGACATCCTCCTGGCTTCCCAGCACCTTCTGCTGTGCTGCAAACTGTCCCACACCGAGGACTTCACAAAGATCCCTTCATCCCTGGAGGCTGAGCACCACAGGCTCCTCAGCCCCAAAGAAGAGTCCTCATCCCTATCCCCCTCCTGATGCCAATCTATGAAATGAGCTACAGCTTGACACTCAATGCATGCCAGAAAGACACCCTATTCTGGGTCTCATCTCCAGGTCTCTGGAAAGAAACATATGGCTCTGGGGCTGATTCCTATTGCCCAGCATCTGAGAGGAAGTGTCAGTCATCAGACCCCAGAGGAAGAAGAAGAGACATTGAAGACAGTAGCATAGGTATCTGGTGAGCCAACCTCTCAGGAAGGGTCTTGGTGAGATCTCACCTTCACTACATCCTGCAGCACAAGGGGCAAAGATCCTTGTCATTCAGAACTGATCCTGCTAGTCCTCAGGAAAGGGAGGGCAAGGAGAGGGCACTGGGAATGTAGGAGCAAGGCCAAAGGTGGGAACTGGGATGAGAGAAGGAGAGAGGTGCCTACCTGGGGCAAAGCTATACATGGTGGGAGTTGACTGTCAAGAGTGAAGAAAAAGCATTTAGTAGAGAAATGTTCTCATGGCTGCTGCCTTCTGCTGTGGTGTCTGTGCTACTCTGTGGAGTGAGGACTGAAAGGAGGAGGTATCTGCAGATTCCATTCCTCAGGGTGCACAGGTGCAGGGCCAAGCGCTTGCCTCCATATTTAGCCTGCACCTTCCACTGATCCTGGAAGAAAAACAGATCAAAAGCTTAACAGAAACCCAGTCACTATGTTGTTTACAGACTCTAATATTTACATGGCCTCAGTTAATTTAAGGGGCCTTCTCTGTACATCCCTTCATGAACTGTCTCCCATAACCATCTCTGTTACCAACAGGCTGAGGGTTCAAACATCCATCTGGAGAGCAACCACAAATAGGAAAAGTGCACCTCCCTTAATATTATCAGTTCTGAGTTTCCAGGGCCAGCATATCTCAGATCTTAGCATTCACAGCCCTAAGAGTGAATGACAGTGACCCTCAGTGTCCAGTGAGAGCAGCTCTGCCATTGTGTTCCTGACAGGAGGAGCGAGTAGCTACTGAGAGTTCCCTGGAACTCTTTCAACAGCCAGACCTAGTAGCTCTTAGCAGCTCTCCATTGCTCTCTGTCATTCTCTTTCATAACTGTCCTCAGGGTGACCTTCCAGGGCTGCTTACAGTGCCAGCAGCCTTTCCTGTAACCAGTTCTTAGTACAATCAGCTCTATCTGTTCTACTTGAGATAAAAGGCATGTATAGGTTGAATATAACAATGTACTTGAGACCTCACTAGGAGTTATGCTGCACCACAATGGTAAGTGATACAGGCACTTTTTGCATAAGGAGATTGGGAAGGAAGCTCATTTACTTAAAAAGAAAAAAAAAAGCCTTCCAGGAAACCATGGGACTTCCCTGAGGTATGGGTAGGAAGAGGCTCCTCATACAGCAGACAAACGACAGCTAAGGAGATTCAAAATGGTGGTATCATTGAAAGAGATTGAAGGATAGAGTCATCTCAAATATACCTGTGACCAAAGATAATTCTAGGTCACAGTGACATAATTGGGTCAGCTATGGATGTCAAAGACAGGGAAACCAATTTTTTTCTTTCCTTTTTGTTTTTTTGGCGGTGCAGGTTATTGAACTCTGGACCTCACACATGCTAGGCAAGCATTTTATCACTGAGCCACAACCCAAGCCCCCAAAGTTTTCTTTAAATGCCTCTTGGAAAGTGTTGGCCCTTTCTCTTCTGTCTCATGTAAGAGAGATGTTTGGAGCCTTCAGTCTTCTGAACCATCAGAGCATTTTCTAGAATTGGCCATGGGGATGGCATTTTACTTAGATACCTCTTTTCTGATCCTGTGGAAGAGGCTAGATAGCCAAGCTGAACAAATATTCAGCATGACAAAGGACTTCCTGCATAGGTGGAGAAGGCTTGGCTTCTAGGGAAAGAAGTCATGGCACCCTTTGAAACTTTAGCTAACAACACAATCAAGATACATTCTGCCTGTTGTCATTACTCCCCAGATGATAAGCCAGACAGTCATCCTACAGGTCACTGATAACAATTTCAGCAAACAGGGGAGTCATGGACCACGTAAGCTGGAGCATCAGTCAAGCACTGAGGTGAGCTGGGGCAAGCTGATCATCACCCTGCAAGATCCGCACCTGCACACATGGGTGATGGCCACTGCAGAAGCACACTGTACACAGGCCCTGAAGTTCCTGACACACCACTAAGCATGCACAATTCAATGACTCAAATTCTGTCTTCCAAAAGCATACAGAAAATGAAAGTGAGGAAATCCAGAGTGAGATTGGGGCTATCTAATAGTGTTAGTGCTTTTCCAAACCCTAGTTAGCATAAATAGGGACCAATAGCATTTGTATGTTTCCACAGCCTAAGCATAAGCTTGGACACATCACAGTGACCCAAGGGCAATATAAACCCCTAGACTAGCACACTTGGTCAGAGAAAGCCAGCTATCAGGTCCCCTCTTGCACTGCAAGAGTTCTATACCTGTTCTTCAATAAGTCCTACTGTTACACTCACTCTTCCTGGTCTGCAGAGTTCATTCTTTGAATTTGCAAGAAAGATCCCAGGAAAAGGAATTGATGGCGAGCCACTGGGTTCTGCATTAACATAGAAGGATATAACCCACCTTTGAGAGGAGCACCACTTCCTTTTTTAAAAAATTTTTTTATTGTTGGCTGTTCAAAACATTACATAGTTCTTGATATATCATATTTCACACTTTGATTCAAGTGGGTTATGAGCTCCCATTTTTACCCCATATACAGATTGCAGAATCACATCAGTTACACATCCATTGATTTACATATTGCCATACTAGTGTCTGTTGTGTTCTGCTGCCTTTCCTATCCTCTACTATCCCCCCTCCCCTCCCCCCCCCCCCCTCTTCTCTCTCTGCCCCCTCTACTGACATTCATTTGTCCCCCTTGTATTATTTTTCCCTTTCCCCTCACTTCCTCTTGTATGTACTTTTGTATAACTCTGAGGGTCTCCTTCCATTGCCATGCAATTTCCCTTCTCTCTCCCTTTCCCTCCCACCTCTCATCCCTGTTTAATGTTAATCTTCTTCTCATGCTCTTTGACCCTACTCTGTTCTTAGTTACTCTCCTTATATCAAAGAAGACATTTGGCATTTGTTTTTTAGGGATTGGCTAGCTTCACTTAGCATAATCTGCTCTAATGCCATCCATTTCCCTGTAAATTCTATGATTTTGTCATTTTTTAATGCAGAGTAATACTCCATTGTGTATAAATGCCACATTTTTTTTTATCCATTCATCTATTGAAGGGCATCTAGGTTGGTTCCACAGTCTTGCTATTGTGAATTGTGCTGCTATGAACATCGATGTAGCAGTGTCCCTGTAGCATGCTCTTTTTAGGTCTTTAGGGAATAGACCAAGAAGGGGAATAGCTGGGTCAAATGGTGGCTCCATTCCCAGCTTTCCAAGAAATCTCCATACTGCTTTCCAAATTGGCTGCACCAATTTGCAGTCCCACCAGCAATGTACAAGTGTACCCTTTTCCCCACATCCTCGCCAGCACTTGTTGTTGTTTGACTTCATAATGGCTGCCAATCTAACTGGAGTGAGATGGTATCTTAGGGTGGTTTTGATTTGCATTTCTCTGACTGCTAGAGATGGTGAGCATTTTTTCATGTACTTGTTGATTGATTGTATGTCCTCCTCTGAGAAGTGTCTGTTCAGGTCCTTGGCCCATTTGTTGATTGGGTTGTTTGTTCTCTTATTGTCTAATTTTTTGAGTTCTTTGTATACTCTGGATATTAGGGCTCTATCTGAAGTGTGAGGAGTAAAGATTTGTTCCCAGGATGTAGGCTCTCTAGTTACCTCTCTTATTGTTTCTTTTGCTGAGAAAAAACTTTTTAGTTTGAGTAAGTCCCATTTGTTGATTCTAGTTATTAACTTTTGTGCTATGGGTATCCTATTGAGGAATTTGGAGCCCGACCCCACAGTATGTAGATCGTAGCCAACTTTTTCTTCTATCAGACGGCGTGTCTCTGATTTGATATCAAGCTCCTTGATCCATTTTGAATTCACTTTTGTGCATGGCGAGAGAAAGGGATTCAGTTTCATTTTGTTGCATATGGATTTCCAGTTTTCCCAGCATCAATAGACTTAAAAATAAGAACCATATGATCATCTCGATAGATGCGGAAAAAGCATTCAACAAAGTACAGCATCCCTTTATGTTCAAAACTCTAGAAAAACTAGGGATAACAAGAACATACCTCAATATTGTAAAAGCAATCTATGCTAAGCCTCAGGCTAGCATCATTCTGAATGGAGAAAAACTGAAGGCATTCCCTCTAAAATCTGGAACAAGACAGGGATGCCCTCTCTCACCACTTCTGTTCAACATAGTTCTCGAAACACTGGCCAGAGCAATTAGACAGACGAAAGAAATTAAAGGCATCAAAATAGGAAAAGAAGAACTTAAATTATCACTATCTGCAGATGACATGATTCTATACCTAGCAGACCCAAAAGGGTCTACAAAGAAACTATTAGAGCTAATAAATGAATTCAGCAAAGTGGCAGGATATAAAATCAACACGCATAAATCAAAGGCATTCCTGTATATCAGCGACAAATCCTCTGAAATGGAAATGAGAGCACCACTTCTTAGCTGCCGAAATCTGCACTTGACACAGACTTCACCTGCCAGCAGAAGCAGAAAACCCCCAGTTTCCCTGCTAACAGGGGTAGAGAATCTAGTTTCATCTTTCTGTGCCCAAATTGGGGCTTCTATGGAGGGTGACTGAAATGGAGCAACAAACTATCTCCTTATTTTATGGAGTTCTATACTCCTTTTAGAAATCACTCTCTCTTTCAAAAATAATTAATGCCTGTCACCCACCTAAAATTCAATAGTGCAGCTGCAGTCTAAAGCCACAGGTGTCAGACTTACTGGAGGAGGCTTGTTCAATCTCTTTTGTCACTAAAGTAGGAATCTTGGTCAAGCTCAGCTTCAACCTCTCTCTGAGGAATACAACAGGTCAATGGATCCATTAAGTGTTTGCTTCTTTTTTCCACTTTCAGACTGACTGGACTCAATGGTGGGAAGGGGTCCCTTACCTGGTGTATCTTGGATTCTAACACAATGTCTTAGTCTGATCCAAAATCTTTGAAAAACAGTAAGACACTAATAACCAGAGAGTGAGCCACATTGTCTATTGCTCCTGTTTTCTTCCCTTCTATTCCCTTCTGTGTCTCTCTCACACATGCGCTGTAAACACCATGTAGATTCTGATTTCTCATACCCCTTGAAACCTCAATTGTTTCAATAGAGCACATGAATGAGGTTTTGAGGAATTTTCAATCCTTAGTGCACCGGTTAGGACCCAAATCCCATGCTGTCTATGGTGAGCTTCACTCAGGAGCAAGGTCCCATTCTCTGGGTTTCCAAATCCTGCCAGTTCAGAGAAGAACCCTGCCAGTTCATACCTCTCCTAGTCTAGACTTCAGATTAGGAACTTTGCTTCCACCAGGGGAGAGAGCCAAGAAATGTTTTGTTTTGTTTTTCCCACTGCATGGAGGGGATTCTGGTGCTCAGAACCCAGGAAGAAGGAGACACAGCATGACAATCCGCAATTCAAAGTCTCTTAAACCATAATAGATTTAATGTTTGTGGTAACACAACAGGAATTTAGTGGCCCTA